TCATCCTGCAGGATGTCAAATAGGCATCAGTTAGAGGTGGGAGTAAAAAGCTGCTGGAAAAGAGAGGGATCCCTGCATCCGCACTGCTGGTACAGGAGCTGGAGTACAGAGGAATGGGCGCATCCCGCTGGATCAGTCAAACCTCCCTTTAAAGCTGGTATTTTCCCTTAAAACTGGTGATAAAAAGGTCATATCCCAGTCACAGGTTGGGAATAATCCCATCTCCAGTTTGGAGGAAGCAGATAAAAGGCTGCCCCAGTGAACGGGACAGCACAAGGCCAAAGAGCACAACAGGAACTGGTGTCATCCTACAGTAGGTATCAACATGTGATTATATTGACCATTCCCTCTATCAAATAAGCCTCAGAAAGCCAATTCAGGAGAGACATCTGCCATGGAGACAACAGCATTCCAATATACCCTCATTGGCAGGAAAGTTCCTTGGCAAATGACAGAGGAAGAGCCCAGTATTTATTCTCCAAATCAAATCCTTTGGTTCAGATGCCAAAAGAAAGTGGTTGGAGAACTGCATCCATGGAAATTCCACCCACATCTCAACTATAGGCTGGTCTCTCACTGCTTCTTGCACCCAGAAAGTGGGATTGCAGCTCAGAGCTCCCCAGTAAGAGGGTAGAGACCCGCAACATCCCCAGTGGGACTCCTAAACATAAAGAGGGGAATTAAAAGTTCAGGCTGTAAAACAGCTTCTGATCATGGGAAATCATTGGGAAATACACATATAAATACATGTTTGAAGAAAGAAACAGAAAAAAAGTGCTACAGGAAACCTGGAGAGGGGCTTTGGACAAGGGATGGAGGGACAGGACACGGGGAATGGCTTGAACCTGCCAGAGGGGAGATTGAGATGAGCTCAGAGACAGAAGCTCTTCCCTGTGAGGGTGCTGAGGCGCTGGCACAGGGTGCCCAGAGAAGCTGTGGCTGCCCCATCCCTGGCAGTGTTCAAGGCCAGGTTGGACACAGGGGCTTGGAGCAACCTGCTCTAGTGGAAGGTGTCCCTGCCCGGGGCAGGGGGTTGGAACTGGGTGAGCTTTAAGGTCCTTTCCAACTCAAACCATTCCAGGATTCTATGAAATCAGAGAGTTAACTTCAGGTTGTATTTAAACTGGGTGTACTATCTCTAAGCACCACAGTGGCATCAGTGGCCTGAGGACCATGTTCAGCTGCCTGATGATCACAGAATCATAGAATCATAGAATGGTTTGGGTTTGAAAGGACCTTAAGATCATCCAGTTCCAACCCCTCTGCCATGAGCAGGGACACCACACACTAAACTATGTCGCCCAAGGCTCTGTCCAGCCTGGCCTTGAACACCTCCAGGGTTGGAGCATTCACAACTTCCTTGGGCAACCTATTCCAGCGCCTCACCACCCTCACTGTGAACAACTTCTTCCTTAGATCTAACCTAAAGTTCCCCTGTTTAAGTTTAAACCCATTACCCCTTGTCCTACCACTAGAGTCCCTAATGAAGAGTCCCTCCCCAGCATCCTTGTAGGCCCCCTTCAGATATTGGAAGGCTGCTCTGAGGTCTCCACGCAGCTTTCTCTTCTCCAGGCTGAACAGCCCCAACTTTCTCAGCCTGTCTTCATACGGGAGGTGCTCCAGTCCTCTTATCACCCTCGTGGCCCTCCAATGATCCTTGCTGGATCAGCTTTTCATAGAATGGTTTGGGTTGAAGGGACCTTAAAGCTCCTTCAGTCTCAACTCCCTGCCACAGGCAGGGACACCTTCCACTAGAGCAGGTTGCTCCAAGCCCCTGTGTCCAATCTGGCTTTGAATATCCTCCCCTGCATAAGGAGAGAAGCAACCGCTGCCTTTTATCCCTCTTGTACCAGACCCCTGATTCAGACCCAAGCTGCTTTGCCTACACCAGATGACACAACCTCATCTGCCACTTCTATAGATAAATGCATGTGTGAAGCCTGAAATCTGCACGTGCTGGATGAAGCAGATCCAGTGCAGAAATCAATTCAAAGAAGGGGAAGGTCAGTGGCTTCATCAGCTTCATGACCATGCCCAAAGCAGGGACATGTTACCCGAGTGCAATCATAACTCTTCCCATCAAAACAATCACCTCCAAGTTCTCCTTCCCTCCAAAAAGAGCCTAAGAAGTTAAATGGGAAGAACCCTTTAATATTAATGGCACATTAATATTAAGTGTGATGTGGTCATGAAGTCCAACATCTAAAGGCTGTTTCATCAACATGCATTTGGCTCCAGTGAGCAACAGAACATTTCCTGTTCCTCTTTGCTTCGGTCAAGCACTTGAGCTCCTCCTGTGCACAAGCCCTGGGTTAAACAGAGGAACAGAGCACTGACTGCATTAGAAACGCTTCACTGCTCTCTGATCCCATCAGAGCAACTTCCATTTAGGACACATCCCAATTCCTGAGTGGTTACTAAATGCTCACCTTGATCAAAGGAGGATTTTGGAGTTGAGCTGATAATAGCTGCAGGTGTAACACTCATTATGGGAGCAGCATAAATGATCCCAATAGAGCTGCTCCCACTCTGCCACTTCCCATTATCCCTCTAAGGATGACTGATCCTTAACTGAAACCCCAGTGATTGCCAGAGGGAAATGCTTCTGAACACAAAGCATCAGGAAACACCACTCTGAAGCGGAGCCTCAGCAGTGGCTGGAAGAGCTGCCCCACTGCAGGACATCAAACAGATCCCGGTGGATCCAAAACAGGAATTGGAGGGGCAGGAGATGGACAGGCCTTTGTGTTACACACTTGGGAAAGGCAGGAATTCAGTATGTGCTTGTGCCACGTATCCCAAAAGCCTGTTTAACAGGACAAACAGGAAAGCTGGGAAGGAAGGGACTGACCTCCCTTGTTGCAACAACACTTGGTGCACATTCCTCCCCAGGCTTCCTCCCATCCTCAGCCCTGACACAGGTGCTGTTTGCATCCCAGTGTGGGATCTTGGGAATGCAGCATTGCTGGCTGCTCACTCAGCACACTGCCATGAGGGCCCAGTGGATCCAGGCTCCAGCATGACCACATCCATCCGTGGAATCACAAGCCTGGCTCCCAGTGCCTAAAGGGGCTACAGGAAACCTGGAGAGGGGCAGCATTTTCAATTCACCATCTAAGGCATCGGGGCTCCTTCTCCCACTGGCACAAAGCACAGGGAAAAGAAGGATCTGTGGCATTTAGGAAGTGAGGAGGAGCAGTCTCACACAGGCACACACACATACAGGCACAGGCAAAGGCAGAGATGACATTTCCGTTTGCTTTTAGTCCTTTTAAGAACCAAATCAAGACACACTTGTACAGCAGGTACAGCAGTTCACAAAGAAAATGAGTCACTTCCAAACCTATATTCCAGCTTTTCCCTAAACTTCCTTATTTGCCACCATTACTTTGAGCAAAGGCAGAAACACAACTCAATTTCTGCTCTATCTACACATTTGCAGCCCTACATTGTTTAAAACCAAGCATCTTTTCAGGATGGGAACATTTCCTTCTATCAAGGAATGAGGATTTGGAATATATTCCCAAAAAACACAGGCTTTTGGCAGCTGCAGTGGGAGGCTCCTGGGGGGCAGAAGATTTGGATCCATTTTGTACATTCTCAACCTATGTGAAGCTTCATTTGGTTGGGCTCAGTTTGCCTGACAGCTTCCACAAAGCAGAGATGTTTGCCAAGCCAAGGGAGCTCCTCTGGGTGCTGGAGCCTTCCTGAGGGAGCAGCTTTGGTGCTGTGACCTCCCCAGTGATACACACAGCTGAGCCAGCTACACGTAGTAGCACAAATCCAGGTGTAAACATGGAGCTACATAGAGAACATCACCATCACCTAAGGAGGAAAAGCCTTGATGCCCCCACCTCACTGTCACAGCTGGATCTGGCCACGTGTTATGTTCACCACATCTGGTTCCAGATATCACAGAAGAGCAACCACAGTTTATGTCCAACCACACGTGGTGCCTTCACACACTGCATGAGAGCTTCCAACACAGTGTCTGGAGGTGCTTCTCCAGGCACCAAAGGGTTTGCTGACATCCTTAAACAGAGGAAGATGCAGCCCCAAGGCCAAACAACTGTTTCAATGCTGGACCATCAAGTCAACTGCACAAATGATCTTAATCTCCTTCCCCTTCCTACCTCCTAAATCCAGATCCAAAATTCTCCTCCCAGCATTCCCTCACCCCTCCAAACCCTCTTTAAATACA